GGATCATGACCTGAGCCGAAGGCAGACGCTTAACGACTGAGCCACCCAGGTGCCCCCTTTTTTTAAGATTTTATTCTTTTAAAGTAATTTCCACACCCAACAATGGGCTCGAACTCACAACTTGGAGATGGCGTTGCATGTATGACTGGCTGAGCCAGCCGGGTGCCCCTGAACAAGTCTTTCTTAACTATCATCAGTGTAAACCACGATTCTCACTTGTGGACAACACACTGGTTGATACCTTGACAATCTAATTAGCTTTCACATGCACACACTAATGCATCTTTCCCCAATTAATCTGAACTAGTAATCCTGTTTATGAACATAAATCGGAGGGCAATCTGAATCATTAAAATAATATCCCGTAGAAGGCCTTTTAAGCCTGAATCAAGAAGATGCAGTGGCTCATACCCCAGTGATTCACAACGTGGGGGAGGTCATTCTGATGCTCCTTGGGGATCTTGGAAGTGATAATCCACATGCTTCTGAGTGCGTCTCCTCGACAGCTGATAGCATGTGGATTATCAGGGCTTCAGACCACCCCGTTCTGGGGTGGACACTCCCACACCAGGGATAGGATGGGCCCTCAGACCCGGCATGGGTTTGTCCGGTGGTGGACGCCTTACCTCAACCCAATTCTACTTCCCCGGCCTGAGTCCATGGGGCTCACGTATGGGGAGAGAGCGCATTGGTCTCTGGATGTCTGAGACTGGCATTGTTTTTGGGGTTTTTTCCCCTGTGGTAAAAGACACGTAACAAAATTTTCCATTGAACCATTTTTTTAAAAAAATATTTATTTATTTGAGAGAGAATGAGAGAGAGCACATGAGAGGGGGGAGGGTCAGAGGGAGAAGCAGACCCCCCGCCGAGCAGGGAGCCCAATGCGGACCCGTCCTGGGACTCCAGGATCATGACCTGAGCCGAGGGCAGTCGCTTAACCAACTGAGCCACCCAGGCGCCCCATTGAACCATTTTTTTAAAAGACTCTATTTATTTGAGAGAGAGAGAGGGAGGGAGAGAGAACAGGAGCAGGTGGGTGGGGAGAGGCAGACAGAGGGAGAAGCAGGCTCCCCGCTGAGCAGGGAGCCCGATGGGGGTGTGGGTGCTTGATCCCAGGACCACGAGATCACAGCCTGAGCCGAAAGCAGATGCTTACCTGACCGAGCCACCCAGGCGCCCCTCCACTGAACCATTTCTAAGTACAGTTCAGTGGTGTTAAGTATATTTACATTATTGTGTACACAACCTCTGGAACATTTCAGCTTGCAAAACCAAAACTCGGAGCCATTAAATAACTCCCCATTTCCCCGCACCATTCTGTTTCTGTGAATTTGCCTGGGTTTCTCATAGAAGTGGAATCTTACAATATTTGTCTTCTTGGGACTGGCTCATTTCACTCAGCAGAACGTTGTCAAGCTTCATCCTCGCTGTCACAGGTGTCAGAATTTCCCTCCTTTGAGGCGGATACTCCCTTCTGTGTGGTCGG